TTCCTGCTGCGAGTCCTCACTCCCATCGCTCGCCAGAGTCCCTGCAAGATGCCTCAGGATGGATCTCTTTAAAGGTCAGTAAACACCATGCCCATCTGCCCAGGGAATTCTCTTTGTGCCCTCCAAGAACGGGCAAATCAGGGTCAGCCTGTGGATTGCTTTTGTCACCTCTCAGGACTGGCAAAGCCCTATTTCCAGCCTTGTAGACCCCAGAAGCCCTTGGTTGGGAGACAGCTGCCCCTAGAAGGCATCACAAGGTTAGTTTGTGCTGCCTTCCCCTTGCAGGCTCTCAGGATCCATTTAGCTACCTGGAAGAGCCTGTTTTGTCTAGCCTCCTCATGAGCATCATCATCTAGACTTCTCTCAGTGGAGAAACTGCTTTTGGTGAGTCCGTGGAGCCTGCTAAGAGTGCCCTGGGAGGAGGTGATTCATGCCTATTCCTCTCCAGTCACTACAGGAGGACAACTACCTTCAGGAGATGGGTCAACCAGGGGCAATCAATCCCCACCCCCCCAGCTACACTTCTTGGTGTCTTGCACCCAGCAAATATTAACAGTCATGACAATAGCCAGATTTCATCACCTTCGCTTTTACTGAAGGAAGGAGAGCAGGGACAGTTACTGTGGACCATGTAGTGCCCCAGATGTCCTGCTTCTCTCCCTTGCTGATACAAAATCCCCTCCAGTTCTTCTGACAAAACCCTGTTTGACAACACACCCTGGCTGACTGCACAATCACAGCTTGGTGAAGCTCTGAAGGAAAGACAAATGTATGACTTAAGCTTCCATAGCAATTCATCTTATGGATAGGTATGGTTCAGATACAAAGTAGAAGATTTCATCTGTGTTATGAAATCTTGCAAAGGAAAAAAAGCAACCATTTCCTCTCCAGCAGGGATTTCCAAAGCATGTTTGGCTTCTGCGCTGGGAAGGGACTATTTGAAAAAAGCATCAAACCCTAAAAGTGCTGTTGTTGAACACAGCTAACTGCTGTCTACTACCATGTTTAGCCTCTAGAAAGTTCTTTGATTTTTCTGCTTTTTAGTTCAAGATTGCATGTGACCTGTCCCCATCCTGTGCTGTCCTTACCAGGTCGGCACACGAGCAGGGCTCCAATCAAGCCAGAGTTGATGTCCTTCACGCTGTCAGTGTTGGAGGAGTAGGAGTGGGTTAGGCATGGGGAATCACCATCTGTCGGGCCCTGGTTTTGCTGGATTTCCCAGATGTATGTATGTGTCTTCCCTGGATCTACCCTGTCACCCTCCTTCTCTGGCTGGCTAGTCTCATCCTCATATACTGCACCTAAAGCCAAAGGAACAGTCAGATGTCACTTGAAGGTTTGTTCCTAACACCATGGCTACAGAAATGCCTCTTCCCCAGCCCAGAGCATAGCCTCTCCCCTTCCCAGCCCTCGAGGCCAGTCCAACTCCTGCCAGTGACAACTGGTCTCAGGGCAGTGGGCAGAGCTGTGCCAGAATCTCACTGGCTCGGCTGTGTACCTGCCAGCTGCCCTGACACTCGAGGGCACAGCCTTCCTGGCCCAACCTCAGGTTTAACCTGTGTGTCACCTCTATAACTGTTACAGCTGTGCTCTGGGCTGTTAGCTCAGCTCATTTCTGGGCTGGGCATTGTCTTGTTCCCCCAGGCTAAGCCATCTCTGTGACCATTGCCATCCTGGTACAGGGATGTGCTCTCTCCTGGCAGGCCAGTGGCAGAGTGGGAGGTGCTGCACAAGGACTTGCAGCACCTGGCTATTGCCTGACTCACCCTCTGACGCCTTCCAGTAGGACACCCCGACAGCATGGAGGTTGTACGGGCGGGAGGCTAGGTTCTTAAATGTGATGACCACCATGTCATAGACCTCTGCTCGGATGGTGGGGCCCAGGAGACCTGAAAGGGGGGAAGACAACAGAGTCAGGCAGCTGGGATAAGGCAGCTCACAGACAGCAACGGGGCCCACTGGATCTGAGCTTTCCACCTGCACCATGCACCATTAGTGGGTGTCCCTCATGTAGCATGGCAGCATCAACTGCTCTGGCACCAGCAAGGCTCCCTGTATCCCCAGCAGCTCTGCTGTGCTGGGACTCTACCCAGGTGCTTTACCATTCCTGGCTGAGAAGCTGCCAGCGCTCTGCCCAGGATGAGTTTGGCCACTGTCAAGGAGAACTAGGGCTCACTGTGCTGTGGCTTCTTCTTACCCATCCACGCGGGCTTGGGCTTGGGCTGCAGGAAGGAGGCGTCGGGGTACTCCACAAACACGGCCTTCCTGTACCGGGGCGGGACTCCGGCCACGGCGTCCCACGGGGCTGGGGGCCCTGGTGCCCTGCAGAAGGAAGGAGAAGCCAAGGCTGATGGTGCAGCCCCATCCACGGATGGGCAGTAGCCATCCTCTTCTTCCCCTTGCCAACAGACTGCCTGTGCTGTGCCAGCCCCGGGGACTGCTCACCCTGATGTGTCCTTTGGATTTCCTGACAGCCCCCAGGTGTGTTTGTAAATGTTTTGCTTAGCTTACAGATGACAATATGACAGTGATTAATGTTACAGTATTAGTTATACTAGAGGAAGACAATGGCAGGAAGCACGATGCCATACCCAGCTCCAGCCAGTAGCTGGTACGTCTGTAGGCATCACTGCCAGCCTCCTGCCTTGTCTGGCTTTGTGTTTCCCTGCTAGCAGAGGCCAGGGGCACTGGGAATACTGTGACAGCAGTGCCATGGTGGCCTCTGTCCTGCAGCCACCCCCAACCTGATCTCCAGCACGTTTAGGTGTGGCAGACACATCACACAACATATAACCTCAAGCACCATCCACAGCCCCTCCCAGGAAAGATATTGTGTTGGGCTGCATGGTGGGTTGTGGCAGTTTGCTCTGTGGTCTAAACAACATCCCCACATTTGTTTCTTTTCTGACCAAGCTGTCATTTACAGCCACCCCCTAAAAACCTGCTCTTTGCAGCAGGGGGATAAAGGAGCCTTGAATGTATTTCACATCCTCCTTATCCCTGCTGGCCACTTTCTATTTCTAAGAGGCACAACAAATTCACTTTCCAAACAGAATCCAGCACACTTATCAGGATAACAAAACCATTAATTTCTCTAGTGATTAGCTGTCTTATCAGCCCCAGGACTGAGACCATTTCCAGTAACCAGATAGACTGCTTCCAGCCTTGGTTTGGAGCAAAAGCCAGGTGGTATTTTCTTCCCTCTGAAGAAGCAGGGAGGATTACTCTCCCTCTCTGACTAAGCCTTCATTCAAGCAGTTTCCTTTGTGACTCCTTCTCAAGAGGAAAAGGAAGGAGCCAGAGCGTCTCAAATTTAGGAAGCGGGGGTGAGTTGCAAACTCATCCCCATGCTGCTGGCTGGAAGCCACCTGCAGTTTGAAAGATGCTGTGGGAGTGGGGCAAAGGAGGGCGGGCACCCACAAAAACCTCACTCATGCCTTTCCCACCACAGCTATAACCCCTTGTTTGGGCTGGCTGGCAGGAAGCCCCTGGCAGACACAGCCCCAGTGAGCAGAGCCACTGAATTCAGCTGACTTTGCCCATGAGCTGTTATCATTCCTGGCTGGGTGGCAGCAGGGTATGGACCACGTTTTGCTCTCCAGGGTGACCCCACGCCGGGACATGGCAGCGCTGCAGGGTCACTGGCACGGGGATGTCTGCTGTCAGGAAGATTTGTGCCTTAATGTCTAACTCTCAGACAGCTCAGCTTTGAAAATACACCCCTGAGATACTAAATCCTGCTAATTCTGCAGTAAACAGAGCAGAATCCCTTTGGAGCCAGGGGGATTTTGCAGGCCTGCGGGAGCATGACAGGACCCAGAGGCACAGCAGAGCCTGGCAGCCTTTGCAGGGTATGAAAAGGCAAAGTTCAGCACAGGGACATCTGATCCAAGTGCTTCTGGCCTGTCCTCTGCACTTGGGGTCCCTGGGGACTTCTTACCCCAGGGGCGGCTAATGCTGAGGCAGGGAGATAAGTTCCTGGCACCATTGATCAGCATTGTTAGCTGCACTATCTGTTTATCTCTTGAAGCTGGGAGACGGCCAAGGTAAATTCCCTGTACTGCCAAAGCACTCAAACATGGGCTGCTGCTATGTGGCTGCCAACTCCAAGCTGGAGCTGAGATCCCTGGGGCTGTCACAGGATGTGCTGGTCCCGGCTCCAGCCCTGCCTGTGTTGTGTTTGAGAGGAAGAGAAACAAAAATTGTGGGGAAGGAGTAAGCAGCTCTGGTCTGGTGTGCTGTAGCCCATCAGTTTGGCAGAGCTTTCCACAAACACGCCAGAGAAACCACTGGATACATACAGGGGTTTTGGAAGTCCTATTTGGAGGTGCACCTCTAGAGGCTGCCATGAGATGCTAGTAACTTGAGTGGAGCAGAAAACATTCCACATACAGCTCAGAGGCATCCCAGCTCCAGCGGCATCTCTGCCCCTGCACATGATGGTTTTCCTGTGCCCTCCCCTCACAGGGGGACCCCGGCTGAAGCTGAAGGGGCAGGGAGAAGGCCATCCAGCTGGCAGAAGCCATGCCAAGCCGTGCCTTGCCTCCCCGGGGTGGAGCATGGCACCAAGTTCCTCTGAGAAACCCAAAGTTGTCTTTCTCCATATTAAAGAAGGATAAGTGCCTAGACTGCCTGCCAATGCCCCGCTGGTCTCCAGGGCAGAGCCAGGTCCCCGAATCCCTCCTGGGTCAGAAGCGGTGCACGAGCATGTCACTGAAGTCAGTGCTGGAATGGAAAGCCACAAGGCTGAATGAACAGTCTGAGTGACCCCACCTTCACCTCAGCCGCAGGGATCCCGAGTGCAACATTAGTGGAGGCATTAGTAAAATGGGTGCTGCTGGATGCAGTTTTCCTGCTGGAGTAATCAGATGGGGGACCTGCTGAAGTAATCAGATGGAGGAAGAAACAATTTAACCCTGATATAGTGACTACAGCAGCTGGTCAATCTGACCTGGCTCATCACCAGAGCCTGGTTTCCAGTGCCTGACCACAACTTCTCACTTCTCAAGCCAGTGTGGGTCTGAAATGGGGCTGTGGGCTGACATCTCCCCAGCACAGAGTCAGGAGAAGGGGATGTGGAAGCAGGGCAGAGGGAAGAGGTGTGGGTTGATCCACAGGGGCTGTAGCCATCCATCTCTGCTCCACATGCTGAGCTCAGAACAGTCCATTCACAGACATGCACATCCAAGCCAACCGTGTCTCCAGACAACACTGCCCTGACACCCCAGCAATGCAACCACCACTTTTCCTTCCTACTTGAAAGTATTCGGATAAATCCACCATGCCTTCCTCCCTCTTGTTACTGTGTACAAACATCATTCTTTGCCCAAACACTCAAAATTATTTTTATTCCCTCAATGAAAAATTTCAGCCCCAGCAATGTAATGGGCATGAAGTTATAAAAAACTGAAGCTGGAGTTTACCAAGGGAAGACACAGTGGGGAGCCTGAGTTATGTTCAGGGGGCCACATCTAACCTCCCTATGCAGTCCCCAGGCAGGAAGGCACAGGACACCATCTCTCCTCACACCTACCCAAAATACAGAGCAGAAGAAAAAGCACAGGCTGGAGAACCAGCTCTTAGCTCTGGGCACAGACTTTAAAGCATCACATGCAAATGGCATTAGGATAAAGCAGTATGGAGCAGTAGTGGAGAGCAGGTCAGCAACTTTCTCAGATTTATTCCACATGTGAATTATCAGTGGTTACAACTAAGTGACTCTTCATTGCACAGAAACACCCATTCCCAGCTGTACCAGCAGCTCAGTGTGCCTACACTACCAGGCTGCCCCCATGCACCTGCCTGCCTGGACCCAAACTCACAGTGCTGTGATGCCAGGGTGGGAGAACCACCACAGCAGAGGGCTGGAATTGCAATAGAAAGAGCTTTACCTTGCAGGTGCTTGCAGCGTGGAGAGCAAGTCGCTGTGCACATAGTCCCAGGCAGTTTCCACTGCACCGATGTAGTATCTTCTCACTTTGCTGATGCCCTCCTGAACCAGGCAGAGCACCAGGAGGCTGCAGAGGGCTCCCATCAGCATTGTGCCCGCTGAATGGGAACCACTTTGGCTTCAGGAGGGAACGTGAAAAGGAAGGAATGAGAAAGAGGAGAGAAAAGCTTTTATCTTCTCATCGAGAGAAGATACCTTCTTATCTTCTAGTCTTCATCGTCCAGAGGAGATGGTGATACAAAGACACCACCGACAGGGTCAGTTAGGCTGCTGGAGAATTTCTCAAAGACATCAGGAGAGGAATTGCTCAAGCAGATTAATGCAAAGGATTCTCCTGCTCTTCCTCTGGAATGGCAGTGACAGGAGGAGAGGAAAAAAAACAAAGGAAAGGGAGGGCAAGTGCAGCAGTAAGCTCTGCTGCAGGACCCAGCTGGCTCAATGTCCTGGCCTATGTCTGGGAGAGAGGTGAGGAAAGGGAGGTTTGCAGAGGAAGGGGAATTTAGGTGTGGTCTCTGCCTGGTCCCACCTTCTCTCTTAGCACAAAGGGGAAGGACGGGAATGAATTGCAGGGCAGCACTCTGCTGCTGCTCAGGTTACAGGAGCCTTTAGTGCAGCCCCGAAGGTCAGCCTGGACTTGCGCTGGGAGCTGGAGCCTCTCGGGAGCCGGCAGCTGCCTTCTGTACCTGCTGGCCTGCACAGCTTGAGGAAGTGGTGATTTAGGGGAAAATTTGCCTTCAGAATGCAAATAATAGCTTATTGATACCAAGCAGGAGAGGCTGCCCTGAGTCCTCCAGGACCAGCAGCCTGCAGAGCACATTGCACCTGCAGCGGCAGGGCTGGAGGGGAGGACACAGCATGGTGTACATATGTGGGGTGTATCTCTGTCCCCTGGGTGCCTGTACCCCAAGCAGTGGTCATTTACCCACATCTCACTTCAAGCCACATGGGAAGAAGGGGTTGAAGGGCCTGGGAGCCCTGGTCCTGTCAGCTACTCCTCACCCTTGTCTTCTCCCATGGTCCTGCAGAGCAGCTCAGACAAGATGCATTAAAACATTTTTGCAAATGTATTCAGTTTAAAATTAATTCAGTGTCTGGTTTTAAAAGACCAGTAAATCCCTCCCCCCCCCCAATCCAAATGCATACACATTGACTCACACACACATATGCTAATGAAGGCAGGAGGATCAGGAGGAACACCCTGCATGGTCCCACCATCTGCTGGGCAAGTGAGATGGGGAAATGTCCCATAAATCATGCTGTAGGGTAGCAGGAGCACCCGTGTGTCAGATCTTGGTGCTTGGGCAACAGAGGGAGGTGATGGAGTTGGGGGTTCCAGATGTGAATCCTTAGTGCAGGGTGGGTGGATCTGATAGGGGATGTGGTGGAAGATAAGACCTGAGCCCCCTTGGGTAGGGCCAGTCCCAGCAGGTGCAGGAACACATTCCTGAGTGTCTTACTGTCCCATGTAGCCCAGCATAGCCCAGGAAGGACCTTGAGCATCCCAGCCCCACAGGCTTATCGTGCAGAAGCACCCCATGTCCTTGGGCTTGGTGACAGCTCTCTGTCCTCCTCCTTCAGAGATGGGCCAGTTTTCACCACCTTGCTGGGGACACCCCCCTCTTTTCTCACCCTTCTCTTTATGGCAGCCCTGGGCCCAAGGGGGAAAATCATCCCAGGCAGCTTTGTCTTGCCAGGGCTCCCATGCAGCAGCAGGGAATGCCCAGGGGGACTCCCACTGGCCTGCGTAAAACCCCAACCTGCCAAGAGGTTGCCCACCCTTTCATGCACTCCCCAAGAGTCCAGCTGAGGCAGCAGGACACAGGGCAGAAAGTGCTCCCCTTGCACCACCCACCTACTCCCAGAGAGGCAAAAAGACAGTGGGAAATACATTTCTTCCAGCTTGTAGGCTGGTGGCTGGCTCCAGGCCCAACCTGGGGCTCCCTTCCTTTGCAAAGAAGATAAGCAGCAACCCACCTCACGTTTTCTAGCAAGCATTTTTGGGAAAAACAAGTGGCATGCCACATCTGGGGGATGTCCCAGGTGCTTTTCACCACCTGCTCTAGCACAGTGAAGTAGAGGGACATTGTTCAGTGCTGGAGGGGAAAGGGTTGCATGGGGGTTTCTTGCCTCAAGCCCTGGCAAGGATGCTTCAGGCATCACAGGATGACAACACCCATGTATCATGGAGGGAAGTTAGGCAAAGCTTCCCTTTGGGGCTGCAGTGGCAGAAGACTGGACACAGTCAAATATTAATTGTTGTGACACTGGCAGATTGCTGAGTTTAACCATTTTCAGCTGCTGGGAGGCAGCACCAGGTTCTTGACCCCGAGATGTAAGAGTAAACTGGAGAAATTTGGTCTAACCCAAGAGAGCAGAAAGAAAATTTCATTGCCACGCTACTGAAGGGTGTAGGAAAGGGAATCCAAATGTGAAAATAGAGGACATTTGCAAATAACCTGGGAAGGAGGCCTAGGTCCTGGTCCTCACTGTACATACCAGGTAACTTTTCACAGGTGCATGAGAGCCAGTGCAGGGCAAAGCCTGCCAAGGACAGCTGGGCATCCACAGGGAGCCTGGCTGCCCCCTGGCAGAGCCTGGTAAGACAGAGCTCATATGCCCCAGCAAGAGCATGTGTGCCCCCAGTAAGTGGGGTGGCATTAGCAGCTCTGGCACTTCTGAGGGCTGTGCAAACCTGTGTGGGTGCCACTACAAAGCATCAGCATCGCCAGTACATGGCTGGGTCTGGAGGTGCCAGGCAGTAGCAGACAGATGTACTTTTGAGAGAGCTGCAGAGAGGCATTGGCACCAGTGCTGCCTTGTGCAAGGCACAGCATGTGCACATCTGCCCATCCCCAGACCTGCCCCAGAGCACTGTCCTCCTGTGCAGATGTGATGGGAAAACCAGGACAGGCCCCTGCCATGGAGAGTCTCAGAGAAACGTGCTTGGTCAGAGCCAAGAACCCACAGGCATGCAAAAAGCACTGGTTGTTTCCCTCAATTGTGAAATTCTCAGGTCAGTATGGGGTGATGGCTGATATAAATGACTCAGAACAAAGTAAGCCATGTCTAATCTCTCCTGGCATGATTTTCTGTGTATATGAGAAAAGTGAGTGTCTCTGGGCAGCTTCTCAGGAATGCAGAGAATCTCAAGCAGCAGCCAACCATGGGGCACTCACTCCTCCTGGTACTTGCATGGGCAGAGGGCACTGGCTGTGCTGCATGACACTGGTGACCCAAAGTAAAGAACAGGCAAGTCCCCACTGTGGAGTCTTGCCACACTTCCTGTGCTGCTGGGTACGTGCTGCCAGCTGGCTCCTGTCTGGCCCACTGGCCATGCCCACCCGGATGCGTGTCACACCCACTCATTTCACAAACCTCTGCAGGAAACCCCTGCCACCTTTCCAGTGCCTCCCTGCACAGCTGGAGGGAAGGATGCCGCAGGGATTTCCAGTTTCCCCTCTGGAACCAGTGCTGGGGTTTAATCACAGGGAATGTGTTATCCCATATAACCAGCTCCACCATTCTCTGCAAAAGCAGAGGTGCTTTAGGGGAGCTGCTTTTTTTCAGAACCTACTGTCTCAGAAAATAAATAAATAAAAAAAACCAAACAAACAAACAAACAAGAAAAAAAAAACCCAAACATTAAAACAACCCACCAGCCAAAAACAAGGGCACCTCTCCTGGTGCTTTTGTCTCCTGGCAAAGCCAGTTCAGATGGAGAGACAAATGCCAGCCTTAATGCAGATAAATCACAGCATGAGCAAAGGATACACCTGTTCTTTGGGGGGAAAAAAGCTTCCTCCTTTGGAACCAAAGCTCCAGGCTGCAGGAGAAATGTGTGTTGGACTTCACCTGGCTGCTGCACCCCAAGAATGATGGAGCAAAGAAGGGCTGCAGCTCTGTGCAGCTCAAAGATCAGCTGACCTGCAGCTAGCAAGATCCCAAGGGAGCAGAAGCACAGCAGGATCAGTGGTACCAACAACCCCCGAGGATCGTGCAAATGTAATCCTAAGGTTCCCTAGCCCCAGAGCAGAAATGATGAAGTGGAGGAGGCCCCAAAAATAAGCCAGGGCTGCCCCTGCATGACACCAGTGTGGATGTCCCAGCCAGGGGAAGGGGAATTCAGACATTGCTTCTCACTGTACTAGAAGCAGTGACATGGTGGCAGCCAAGAGCAGCTCTCCTCCATAGGTGCTGTGCCTGGTGCTGCGGGGAAGGGGCAGGGTGGTGCATGGGTAATTCCACTCCCATGGCTGTCCCTGCACTGCACTCACCTTGTCCCCATATGCCCAGCCCAAGCCTCATGGCTGCCAGGGGTGTATGCTGGCCAGGTAGTGACAGGAAAGGGTGCAGACCCATGAGATGGAGGGATTATCAAGAAAGGTGGACCAGAATCCTGGCCAAAGAGGCAGAAAACAGGCAAGAGTTGAATGAGGAGATTATGGCCCATCCAGAAATTGTTATTCACTTTTTCCAGCTGGGGAAACTGCTGCAGGGAGTAGCAAGACTTGCCCGTAGCCACCTGCAAGGCAACAGCAGGTCAGAAAGAGACCGCCTGCATCACTTGAGCAGTCAGTATCATTTGTGGTGCTTCAGGCTGCCTGTGTCCATTTACTGTCCAAAATCGGTGCTTCTCTGCAGGAGGGATGGCTTGAGGGGTGACCAAGTGCTCACTGCTGCTTTCAGCACAGTGCTGAGTCTGGCAGCAGACTGCTCAGGCCTGTTCCCTAAACCCAGCTGGTAGAAAATGCAGGTGCTGGCAGGAGGGAGCAGAAAGGCCCTTCCTTTGCCCTGCGGAAGTGAGGGAGTCTGGGGGAGAGCCAGCCTGTGCTGAACAGTCCCTGCAGCAGCTGGGGGGGAGTAAAGGAGAAGGGCTGTCAAACCCACCCATAGACACCAAGTGGCATGAAGGGCTGGAGCCCACATTTATT